CAACATACGACTTGAACAAATACAGATGAATTTTATTTCATACACGTTGTTCAGTGAGAAACTGAGGGTTGTGATTTGACAGTAAATATCTGATAGTAAAATGCAGATAAGTAGACAGATGTAGTCAGGAGACAGAATGACAGAAGACAATCTAGAGGCGCAGACACAAAGAAGTCACATCCTGCCTTCCTCTCACTTTCTGTTGCTCTACAGCTGGAAGCTATGACTAATGAATGATGTAGCACTTGGATAAGGGAAGATAAAAGGGCTGGAGGGGTTGAGGTGGATGGGGATATATATAAATATACATACTGTATACATTTTATTTAGTTTACTTCTTCCTGTTCGAGGTGATCAAGGATGGTCTTCTATCTGAGGTAAGATAATTCAATTTGTTAATTAATGCAAATAAAAAACTGTAGACTTGAATGTGCATGGAATTAAATTAAATAAATTTTATTGATTCTTACACGTCAGAACACGTCGCTTTACTTTCATTCATTCATCCACTGTTCTGCCGATAGATTGTGTTTTGATCATCAAACCACAAAACAATAGCCGTCTCTATTTTCAGTGTCCATATATAGTATGCCACTGTCGAGCTGAACTGCTGCTCTTCCATGCTAAGTGCATATAAATGACAGCTGTCATAAGCATTAGAAAAGATTAAACCCGAATTAAGGGAATGTATATATTTTCTGTAATCTTTGCGATATTCTGTTTAAAAGTAGCAAACAACACCTCCATCTCAGCTCGTACATCTCCTACTGTGAAGTGCTTTCTTTCTTTTTTTTAAATTTTTTAAATCAGAAATGGCCTACACGCCACTTTTCACGGAATCACTGAAAATTCAACGTAGCATGAGTTTGTAGGTAGCGCAGGATTATACTCTTAAAGGCTTTAATGGGTACTCTGTAACGGCATTATATTTAGAAAAGACAAGATTCTGCCCACTATTATTGAATCCCATTGTCACTGAAGTTTTGCAAAACCACTTTTCTATTCTCCTGTCACATCTCTGGACCATTCAGAAATTTAATTTACAATAAAACTAATCTTAATTTGTATTAAAATGTGTTAACATTTGTTGACTCTTGCTGGTATCACTTTACTGTCCAGATCATCCACAGAACAAAAAAAAAAGTCAAACGCATTTAGGTTTCACTTTAGAACAGTCACAGATTAATCTGGGTGCATTAATGGATTATGGGGGACAATGTTTTTTTCCTATTTGACTCGCACTGCTCCACAGTCACTCGGATGACGTGTTGGGATTATTGTGCGACACTGCAACCACTTTTCTCCAAACACAAGTGACAGCAATGGCTGCGTCGCTTTGGAAAGACATTGAAACTAGAGCTAAAGTTTGATGATGCTTGTTTTCAATATGTGTGTCTTTTCTTTAATTGGTCCAAAGAGCCATTAAACATACTTTTCTTGATGTTTTGTATAAAATTTGAATTCACTGATCTGTGCGTCCTTGGTCCGTGCTCACATGTTTCCCCTCTCTCCAAGCTGTTCCTTTTAGGCCCAGATGTAATCTCCCCGGAACAAAAGTGAGAGGCAAGGGGGGGGGGGTGTGAAAAAAATAGCCAAAAATATTTGAATGCATCCAGATACTGAATCTGGATAATCCTCACAGTGTCACTTTTTCTGTTGCGACTCTTTATCTTCTACTCAACTGCAGTTTAGTTCAGTGGATTTCATTTGACATGTAATGATAGATGCTCGGATTGGACATCGGAAGAACAATAAGTTTAGCAGAAAGGTCAGATGTGATTCCAGTAACTGGGAGAATTGATCAAAACATTATTTTATATGATAATTATCTCATTCAGTCTCTCCGACGTCTGTCTTTATTTGCACAGCAGTGTTTTCCCCCTGATTTGACACGACGCACAAAGGTTTGTGTTTGTTGGCCCCTGGCTGATCGTGTCATCGTGCCCTTGTAAAAGCAATGCGGTGGGTTCGACTTTATGGCCTGACTCAGATTTGCTGTGGGATTTGCAGGAGAGCACGGGGCTCTGTGACATGAACCATCACAGATCACTGGGTTAAGATGGGATGTTGTCTTCCTGGACCATTAAATCCAGGAATAACTGGGGAATCAGCCTGTTTTGAAAAACGGGAGAGATATTGTGACGTTCGCCATTTGAACTTTGCGCATGTTGATTGGTCCGTGCCCCGAAGCCTTGGACGGTGGGTGCCAAGACTGGACTAAAACAATTCAACTCAATCTCCTTGCATAACAGAGGGATGGCGAATGACCTTATGTGAGCATTTTTCAAAGGGTGTTTTTTTTTTTTTTTGTCCTTCCAGTCTGTACACAGTGTACCAACCTGGAGGGATGCTAACTGTAAGACATTATGTCATCGATTCTATCTTCAGCACTCGTGTTCCTTAACAGAGAGCGAGAGTGACAGTCTGATCCTAGGTGAAGAAGTGAAGAATGTAATTACAGTGCTGGAGAAGTCTTTCACCTTCTGTCATGATACTTTGACACCATGATGGGGTTGCATTTCCATTTTCCCTCAGTGTCAGCTTCTGATATCAGCTACTATTTATGAAACTCCTGCAGAACATTGCTAAATTGCATTGAATGGACATAATATATAGGTCAGTTAAGAACAGGATGCATTTTGGCAGAATGTATGCATCACAAACTGGCAGCCTCTGGGGATTTCGGGGTCTTTGACTCCAGCGCCCAAACAAAAACTGCTGCTAAGGTGAATTTCTTAATTCACCTTTCTTGTGGTGTGAGGGTTTGGAGCCACAAACTTACCCACTGTCACTTCTGACAAGATTTAAATTTTACGGTGCATGTGAAACTTTCAAGGTCAAACACCTTCCAACAAGTCATTTCCCCTTACCCGACAACACAAAAGCAAGTATGTGGCCCGAAGTCGCAACAGCATACGAAGAAGAAAGCAAATATTGAATGTTTGTTCTCTCTGCCCTTTATGGTAGGTGGAAAGTTTTGGCTGCCTAAACACACATTTTACGACAAACAACCAAGGAGGAAGCCCCGCTTGGCATTCCAGCCGACTGTCTCTACGAAGAGCCTGTTAAAAAGCCAAAGCCGCCCTTTTATTTTGTGTCAAAAAATGTTCTCGGAGTAACATGAACATTAACCAGAGGATTGTTTTCGTTTCACTCGGCAGCCGAGGCGAAGGCTTTTGTCACCGTTCTCAAAGGATGACAAACCGCGCAGTCGAGAGCGCGGTTTTGAAATTCACATCCATCTAAAGTGACGCGTCAGTAAACAAGAGGGTGTGTGAGTCAACCTGAAACGTACAAATCCCCTTTTTCAAGATTTCTGCTGTGGTAACAGTGAAATGGGATCAACTTGGATTCAAATCAACCGAGTAGGCCAGATTTGACTAAATATGCACCGGTGGAGAATAGAGGTGCGTTTATTGTCATATTATGTTTTTAAACTGAAAGTACAAGAGGATGTATAATTCAAATGAATATAAAGAAGGGACAGGAACAGCTGTGGCTTTGACATTCTGCCATTTGATCTGAAGCTCACTTTATTTTGAAAAGACTTTAATGGGAAACATTGCTTTAACAGGAACAGTTGGGTCTATAAATTTATAAGAAAACATCATACTTTGCCAAAGTGGAAGTGGGGGACATTGCAAAAAGTCAGTGAACCTGTTAATGTTGTAAATATTGATTATAAACTCGATTATAAAACGTCATTGGATTTTTTTGTATTTCAAAAATAAAAGTCTAAAAGCTTTGATCTGAGATCAAGGGACCCTTTCAGATGGACCATTTTTTTGACACAGTTTTATATCCTAGTGTGCATTTTATACATTTATTAAAAAGATGATCCCTTCATATGATATTTTCTTCATATTTTAGAGCCATGGTCAATGACTAAAACTTAAAAAAGAGCTTTAATTGGAGGATTTTTACAGAACATCAGGCAGTGGAATAATGCTCTCATCCCCTCACACTGCTCGGTTATGGTCCTGCGTTGTAGCTCTCGGTGGGAAGTGTTGGATTGTTTAAATTGTAGCCGCTAGAGGGATACATATACGCCCTCCAAACTCCGTAAACACCATCCCATCACTATGTGCCATGGAGAGATTTACCGTCAGTGAGAGTTGCCTACCTGTGTGACTTCCCACTTTGAAAAAAACACACACACTCACACACAGCCCTGGAACATTTGAAACATGAGTTGTTCTTAAAAAGACTTAGAGAGGGGGAAACTGCATCTAAAGCGGACGACGTGCTGCGACTCCTCCAAGTGTATCTGCTCCAGGCAATCAATGAGGACCGCGGTGACTTTTGCAGCTCTCTGTCCCTCTGCCTCTCTGCAGCCTTACCTTTTATCATAGTGCATTTCAACTTTTACAGCCCAGAGAAGGGGGAAGTTTGGATTTTTTCTTCTTTTTAATTTTTTTTAAAATCACAATTTACCTCTTGCTTCCTTTTTTTTCTTTTAATAAATATGAGAGGTGGGTTTGTTGCCACTTTTCTCTGGAATTTAATATGTGCCATCTCTTATGCTGTTTTACGCGTAGGATAAGGAAACAACAAAAAGGTGTGACAAGAGCCTGGCGGACAACTGTGGATTGCTGCGAGTAACTCCTACCGTCCAGAGGGGATGAGGGGGGCATCGGCCGGACCCCCCTCTTGATTGATCACGTATTAGTCATCCATTTGGCTAAATGGGACCCATTGAAAAGGCACCGTGGAAACCATACATGAATCAAATATTCCCGTGCCCCCTGAATGTCTCAAGAGTAGTTTTGCTTAAGAGAGGGGGTCGTGGCTGAGCATAGCTTTATGTGTTTATTTTAGTTTCTACGCTTTGACATTGTACCGCTCTTTTAAAAAAAAAGAACAGATAGAAGGAAAAAACTCGAGAGGATTCCAAAGAGGAGAAGATTTGTGGACGTATATTTTTTTCTAGTTATTCCGTTGTTTCTTTTTTTTTCTTCTCTTATTTTTAAATATTTTTTTGCCATTTCCTCTCCCGAAAAATGAAACTTTGGACATCTCCCTGGGTGTCTTGCCTGGTGATTCTCCTCTTGTGTTTTGGATCAGAGTGCGGGACAGCCCGGAGAAAGGGGAGATCCAAGAGGGAGTTGGTGCGCATTAGGGAGGCGAGAGCCACCGCGCCGGGGGCTTGTGCCACGCGTCTTCCCCGGGGCAAACGCTCCTTGCCCGGCTTGGAGCGACGGGTGCTCCGCCAGCGCCGGCGCTCCTCGCAGCAGGCGGAGGAGAACTCTCCGGACCGGGGGAAAGCTGTGTATTTCACCGGCAGGGGCGACCAGCTGCGACTGAAGCCCGGCGTGGAGATACCCAGAGGAAATTTCACCCTGGAGATGTGGATCAAACCGGAGGGAGGTCAACGATCACCCACAGTGATTGCAGGTAGGACGCTCATTACGCATCCTCCATCCTGTCAACTCTTTACATTGGTGTTAATCCAAAAAGGAAACTGGCGAGTTCAATGTGAGAAGTGAGCTTGCAAATGTGCAGCATTTTATCCCGCTGTCATGTAGTGTATGAAACAAAGCAACATGCAGTTTCAGCGAGTTGAAAACGAGTTCATCTATCAGACTAGACAGTGATGTAATGCTCTGAAAAGTACAGCGGATATTTTAGGTAGTGCATGCGTAAGGTCACTGAAGATATTGGTCATATTTGAGTTTGGCACCTTGCGGAGGAACAATTGCTGCGGTGTGATTTTTTATTCTACAAATCAAATCCCCCTCTCGTGTTTTCTACGTGTGTGGGATAGTGTGATAAAAATCAAAGTGAGAGGAGAACGGGCGGCAGATGTAGGCAACTGCATCACTTGACCGGCAGCTGATGTCACTGTGCGTAAAATGTAATTTCTCCGCGCCGACTTGGCTATTTTAAAACTATGATGTAATGGCCAAAACTTTGTGAGCGAGCACGTCACGTCGGTCGCAAGCGGGAGAGAGAGAGGGAGTCGTTGCGTGTGGATGCGCTCAAAGGAGCTCGCAGCTCCAGCCGCAAGCTCGAGTGTCCCCCCCACCGCTACCCGATTCGACACCTTTGGATTGGCTACCGGAGTTACGAGACAGCACAGAGAGACATCCAGGGTTTCCCCCTCTTGAGCGAAAATGTCCTGGCTTGGGGTTTATTTGCGCAGCGGCGGTGCGCTTTCGTGGCGTTACGCACACTACGTGTTCCTCCCAAGCGCAGACACTTGAGCGAAATCTTGGGTTTGTAATTAAAGGCACGGTCAAGATAGTGATGATGCTGTTCTGTCTGAGTGCGCAGAGGAGGGTGCACACACACTTGGGTAGGTCCCTGCCTGCACAGATATGGTTGACACTTAGTAGTTATCATCTGTGCGCACTCCCCCTTTTGTCCTGCCAGATCTGCAGCCGTGCGTAAAAGGAGCACCAGAAACGTGCTAGAATCCGCTCTGCATCATTTATTTTTGACCAATACCGCTTTTGTGCATTACAGTATTGGACAGCTTTTTTTGTTGCTTTTCCTTGCCGATAGGGAGCGTTGCATACACAACTCACAGCCTGCCACGGTACTACTTGTGCAGATGGCTGCTGCCTTTGAACTGAACTGAACTGAATTGAACTCAGTCCTCCTCAGCCTCCTGTATGCCAGTCTGAACGTTTTGGGACTTAACTCAACCATATGACTACATTTACTAGCTCCTTTATTTTATATCTGTCTGGCCCTCTCAAAACAACACCCCCCCCATGCACACAAATAAATAATCACTTGTGCTTGTGTGTCTGTGTTAGCATGTATGTGTGATAGATACAGTACACTTTTAGGTAGAGCTAGCCAGTTGGCAGGGACATGTTCTGCAAAGCCAATCCCTCGTAAGACTCTCCAACTGGGGGAGAGGGGGGTGAGAGGGTCTGTTGTGACCTGAGTGACTCTTAGATTTTCAGCGGATGGACACAATAACAGGAACATCTGTACAGCATAATGCAATCTAGCACAACAACAACACACGTGACGCGCACCACATTGACCAAAGATTTGAATAAACACCTCTCCAACACAATGTGAACAGAAAACGAACATTGCAGGCTTTACATACATGCATGTGGTCTAAGATCACATTTTGTAAAGGTGGTCTTGTTGTCGCACACACCTCTGGCTTCATCCTACTATAGATTTCCATTCATGTACGATCTAATGTTTTCATTTTTAAGATTTGCTCCATGTGTGATCACATCAGTGAGCTGGAGAGGGGTCCCAATGAGAACACATCTGATGATCAAACAAATTCAATGAAGCCATAATCTTTTAAATCCAATTCAGGCCTCAAAAAAATCCCAGTGCCACCAAAAATGCTCTTGTTTTGATCCCAGCACAGTGTTGTTTGCAGGATATGTTTTTTTGTTTTTGACCACCCCTCTCTGCAAATACATATGTATGTAACTGCATGTGCACTTGGGAAGTCAGGGTATATTCATATGGTTAGAAATGGTAAATGGTGTGTGTTTATATAAAACGCTTTTCTTGTCCTGATGACCACTTATAGTGCTTTGCATACATATGCAGCACTTTCTCTATCACACATCAATGACACTGACAGCCTTCAGGGACAATTTGGGGTTCAGTTAAATTTTACCCAAGGACACTTCAGCATGCATAATGGGTGAGACTGGGATCAAACTGCCGACCTTCTGGTGAGAGGACGGCCCTCTCAGGTTAGCACAGTCTCTACTTTACAAAACTCAAATGTTATTTTTTGTGTCCATGGCCAATTTTAGTGACAGCTGGTTTGGAACTTTTTCAATGATATATGAAGAATAAATGATATATAAAGGAAGGATATCAAGTTATCATTTAACTTGTATTTTTCAGTGAAGATTACCAATGTTTTTCTACAATTCCTTGGAGAAGTAGAGCAGATTCCTCTTGTTTCCACTTTTGGTGGAAATGAGGATGTTCAACGATCAGTAGCTGTTATCAATAGCTCCACAGATGGCCATTAAATATGTCTGGACCCTCTTGTGTTGTGTGAAGAAAAATACACAATAGATTTAATGTGCTGTCAGTTTCAGTTGACAGTGACAGTTACAGTCCATGTGGTCAGAATTGATCACAGGTTTAAAAGCACATACAAACACACACACACACACACACACACACACA